TGAAAGGAAAGAAAAGGAAGTGAAAGGAAAAGGGAAAGTCGCACATCTCTCCCTTTAAATCAAAAGCTAGAAATGGTTAAGCTGGTGAGGAAGCTGTGTTGAAAGCTGAGACAGACTGAAAGCTAGGCCTCTTGTGACAAATAGTTCACCAAATTATGAATGCAGAAGAATAGCTCTTGAAGGACATTAAAAGTGCTATTTCAGTAAACACATGAATGATAAGGAAGCAAAATAGCATTACTGCTGATAGGGAGAAAGTTTTGTGAGTTAGGATAGAAGATCAAACCAGCCACAACATTCCCTTAAGCCAAAGTCAAATCCAGAGCAATGTCTCTTCAATTCTATGAAGTGAGGAAATAGAAGAAAAATTTGAAGCTACAAGAGGTGGGTTCATGAGGCTTAAGGAAAGGAACCATCTCCCTAACGTAAAAGTGCGAGATGCAGCAGCAAGTGCTGATGTAGAAGCTACAGTAGGTTATTCAGAAGATCTAGCTAAGATAATTGGTGAAGGTGGCCACACTAAACAACAGATTTTCAGTGAAGACGAAAGAGCCTTCTATTGGAAAAAGATGCCATCTAGAACTCTTCATAGCTAGAGAGAAGTCCGTGTCTCACTTCAGTTTCAAAGGATAGGCATTGACCATTTGGAAAATTCTAGGATTTTTAAGAATTATGTTGGCTGGGCTCGGTGGCTCAGCCTGTAATCTCAGAACTTTGGGAGGCCAAGGTGCATGGATTGCCTGAGCCCGTGGGTTTGAGACCAGCCTGGGCAACTTGGCAAGACCTCATCTCTACAGTAAAAAAAAAAATTAGCTGGGCGTGGTAGCACGTACCTGTAGTTCTGGCTACTTGGAAGGCTGAGGCAGAAAGATTGCTGGAGCTCAGTGAGTTGATGCTGGGGTGACCATGAATGTGCCACTGTCCTCCAGCCTGGCCAACAGAGACACTAACTCAATAATAATAATAATAATAATAATAATAATTGTTATGCTAAATCTACTCTGCCTGTGCTTTATAACTAGAACTACAAAGTCTAGATGACAGCACATCTGTTTACAGCATGGTCTACTGAGTAATTTAAGTCCACTGTTGAGATCTGCTTAGAAAAAAGATTCCTTTGAAAATGTTACTGCTCACTGGCCAGATGTGGTGGCTCACGCCTGAAATCCTAGCACGTTAGGGGGCTGAGGTGAGAGGATTCCCTGAGCCCAAAGGGTTAAAGACCTGCCTGGGAACTTGGCAAGCCCTCATCTCTACAAATAAATAAATAAATAAATAAATAAATAAATAAATAAATAAATAATTAGCCGGGTGTGGTGGCATTCGCCTATGGTTCTAGCTACTTGGAAGGCTGAGTTGAAGGATTGCCTGAGCCCAGCAGGTCAAGGCTGCTGTGGCCATGAGCGTGCTACTGCACTCCAGCCTGGGCAACAGAGTGAGACTCTGACTTAAAAAAAAGAATTTTACATAAACTTAGTTGATAAAGCAGTGGCAGGGTTTGAGAGAATTGACTCCAATTTGAAAAAAGTTCTACTATGGGTAAAATGCTATTGAACAGCATTGCCTGCTACAAAGAAATCTTTTGTAAAAGTTAGAATCAATATATGTGGCAGTTTTCACTTTTGTTTTAGTTTAAGAAATTGCCTAAGATGTGAAAATCTTGGAAAGTAGAAGCTAAAAAATTAGAAGGAAAAAAGAAAAGAAAAGAAAAAGACATTGCCATGGTCACCCCACCCTTCAGCAAGTACCACCCTGATCAGTGAGCAGCCATCAACATGGAGACAAGACCCTCCACCAGCAAAAAGACTGGAACTTGCTAAAGGCTCAGATGATGGTTAGCATTTTTTAGCAGCAAAGTATTTTAAATTCAAAGTATGTACTTTGGTTTCCTTAAGGCATAATGCTATTGCAAACTTAATAGACTACAATATAGTGTCATCATAACTGAGAGACCAAAACATTTCTGTGACATTTTGTTGTGATATTTGCTTTATTACAGAGGTCTGGAACCAAATATGCAATATCTCCATGGTATGCCTGGTACTACCAAATTTCAACTTGCAATTTAAATCTTTTTATCCATAAGAACACATTGCTTAACTACTACATCTCGTGTGCAATTCAGAAAAGCTGTTTACTCTTCAGTCCTCTCTTTTTGAGTGCAGCCCTGCTTGCCAGCAGCGTAATTTGCCACGGATCCACACCCTCTACAAGACTGTAATATATATACAACCAGATAGATGTTCAACTAGAAATCTATAAAACACCTTTTAAAATTAAAACATTTTAGAACTAGACTCTAAAATTTGGTTTTTAACATTTTTCCTGATTAAGGGAGTTGTAGAATAGAAAAATGCAAGGATATATATATTTGGCATATAATTCCTTAGATTTCACTAGATTTTCTAAAGACTATCTAAAAACCTCTCTTTCAAATCCTTGATTCCCAGATCACGATCCTTTCCCACTCAGAAATCTTTCTTTTTTTTTTTAGTTGGAGTCTCACTCTGTCACCCAGACTGGAGTGCAGTGGCCGCTCCCGGCCACCGCAGCCTTGACCTGCTGGGCTCCAGCGATCCTTCCGCCTCAGCCTTCCAAGCGCATTACCACGCCCGGCTGATTTTTTATTTTATTGTAGAGATGAGGTCTCACCAAGTTGCCCAGGCGGGTCTCGAACCCGCGGGCTCAGGCAATCCACTCACCAGCCTCCCAAAGGTGCGGGATTACAGGCTGAGCCACCGAGCCCAGCTCAGAAATCTTTCTTGATTTGTCCCTTTTTCTTTTCAGTCTCAGAGAAAGACATTCTACTTCCTTTTTTTTTTTCCTTGAGTTGTAGTCTCACTCTGTCACCCAGGCTGGAGTGCAGTGGCATGCTCACGACCAGCTCACCACCACCCCAGTGTTGACCTGCTGGGCTCCGGTGGTCCTTCCACCTCAACCTTCCGAGTAAGCAGATACCTTTTGCTACATTGCTGTCTTAATCCCAGTTCCTTAAAACTATTTTTTCAGTCACTAAGTGTAACTTTTGGCTCCTAAATATTTTTCCCTATATGTCTCTTCCTCTTCCTTTGTTGAAATTATTTACTTAAAGATCACCATTTTCTTTCTTTTTTTTTTTTGAGTTACAGTCTCACTCTGTCGCCCAGACTGGAGTGCAGTGGCCGCTCCCGGCCACTGCAGCCTCGACCTGCTGGGCTCCGGTGATCCTTCTGCCTTAGCCTTCCAAGCAGCTGGAACTACAGGCGCGTGCTATCATGCCCGGCTAATTTTTTGATATATTGTAGAGATGAGATCTCGCCAAGTTGCCCAGGTGGGTCTCGAACCCATAGGCTCAGGCAGTCCACTCACCTCAGCCTCCCAAAGTGCGGGATTACAGGCTGAGCTTCCGAGCCCGGCTAAGATCACCGTTTTCAAAAGCAGTGATTGGCTGGGCTTGGTGGCTCAGCCTTAATCCTAGCACATTGGGAGGCCAAGGCAAGTAGATTGCCTGAGCCCGTGGGTTCAAGACCAGCCTGGGTAACTTGTTGAGACCTCATCTCTACAATAAATAAAAAATTAGCCAGGTGTGGTAGCGTGTACTTGTAGTTGCGGCTACTTGTAAGGCTGAGGTGGAAGGATCATTGGAGCCCAGCAGGTCGATGCTGGGGTGACCATGAGTTTGCCACTGCACTCTGGCCTGGGTGATGGAGTGAGACTCCAACTAAAAAAAAAAAAAAAAGCGCAGTGATTTATTTCTTAATCCTCATTCGCACCACCTTTTCTACATCATTAGACACTGGTTACTACTTTCTTCTTAAAATGTGGTTCTTTCCCAGTCATAACTCTGTAATAAGCAACTCCCTTCATTTTCAGTGACCACACCCAACTCAGTTTTCACTATAAAAATTTTCCAACATTGCCCTTTGTTGTCTTCTTGATAGAAATTTACATTCCCTTGACTGTTTTATTTACAATTAGAGCTTTATTTTTCTAACCTTTATTTATTTAATTTTTAAAATCTTATTTAGAAGAGCTAACTAGATTTCTCTGGATCTTTCTCCTGAGCTTGGGTTCTTTTCCTGATTGCCTGCTAGACTGCTCCTTGACACACCATACACTCTTACCATACCACCTTCTCCCTAGACCTACTCACATTGGGTTCCTGTTTTCAGTGAATAGCATCACCATCCTTGCAGTTGCTCAGACTCCCTGTCTCGGCATCATCTCTTTTTTCACTACTATTCCTCATCCTGGCAGTTGCCAAACCCTGTTGATTTTTTCTTTTACATGTCTTTCGTTCACTTCTTCTTTTCTATTCCTGCTACATTAGTTATGCCTTTTTCATCTCTTAAAATTATTGTGATGTTTTCTTAGCTAGTTCTTTTTACTTATCCGCCATACCCTGTTTCCAGAGTAACCTCCTCAAGTACATTTCTGATCATATGGCTCTCCTACTTAAAAACCTATGACTAGGGAGATGCAAACCCAAACCACAGTGAGATATCACTTCCACCCATTAGTATGGCTACCATTAATAAAAAAACAAAATAACAAGTGTTGACAAGGATGTGGAGAAATTGAAATCTTTGTATGTTTCTGATAGGAATGTAAGATGGTACAGCCAATGTGGAAAACAGTTTGGTGGCTTCTCAAAAAGTAAATGTAGAATTACTATAAGTGGATACACCCGGCTTGTGTCTAAAACAACTCTAATTTTATGAATGGGGAAATTGGAATCCAGGGAGGATATATGGTGACAGAGCCAGGACGTAGTTTCTAGGACTTAGTTCAGGGTCTTCTTTCTTCTATTTCAGAAATTTTCCCTCCGCACGAATATACTGGTAGTCATGCATCCTGTGGATGTTTAGTCTGTATTGATGTTGGTCAGTTCATGTGCTACAAACACCAGGCCCTATCTATAAGACTTCTATCCATGTAAAAAAGAAATTTTTTTAAAGGTATGTTTTGTTTGAAATCTGTGTACATATGAATATTATGATATATTTTTGTTCTGTTTTCAGCTTCATGTTTCCTGTTGCAGGTGGAATAAGACCCCCTCAAGGTATGTAAAAGATTAAGTTTTAAACTTTTGTTTTTTACTGTTATGTTCTGAACATGGGAATTAAATCGGTAAATAGGAAGTAAGTTCTCTTGCTTCCAAACAGAGTAAAATGTTCCTATAGTCTTAGACTTATAGGACAGTTATTCCTAATATTTCTCAAAAATTGTGTAATTTAGATAGTAATAAGGATCACTTCTTCTTTCTGCCACACATATAAACATATTGACAGATTGTTATTTAACCTCAGAGGTGAAGGAAACTTTTGGGACAAGACTATTGAAGAACAGGTGATAAAAATGAAATGAGCTATAATCCTCTTAATGACCTCTTTCTCCTGTCTCATCTTCTGCTAGATTGTTAGTGCCATGGGGCAGAGGCCTTGTTTGTTTTATGTTCATTAGTTTCTCCAGCACCCAGCATGCTGATTTAACAATAGGTTTTCTGTAGATGCTTGTTGAGTGAATAAGTGAACATCCTTGGTTATTTTACACTATTTTTTTCTCTATACGATATTATCTTATATAACACATATAAAAAAGATCGCATATTCTGATCAGCTTGAAATATTTAAGTCTCAGTTTTATTCCAAGAAATTTCTCTACTAGGTACTCCTTTTCTCTCTCTCTCTTTTCTCTAAATAGACAGGGTCTCACTCTGTCACCCAGGCTGGAATGCAGTAACATAATTATAGCTCACTATAACCTCCAACTTCTGAACTCAAACAGCCTCCTGCCTCAGCCTCCCAAGTAGCTGGGACTATAGATGTGCACTATCAGACCCAGCTAATTTTATTTTTATTGTACAGCTGGGGTCTCACAATGTTTCCCAGGTTGGTCTCGAACTCTTGGTTGGGCTCAAGTGATCCTCCTGCCTTAACCTCCCAAAGTGCTGGGATTACAGGCATGAGCCAATGTACCTTACTTCTCTTCTCTCTTCACCTTAGACCAGAGTCCACCGACATCAATTCTAATTTTGTCTTTAAGGAAGCAGTAGTGAAGGGATATAATCTTGATCCATGCTGCTATGCAACTGGGCACAACTGGAAGGAGGAATATATCTGTCCTTTCGCTTCTTTCTGCTCACTTCTCCCACTCTGATGTGCTCCTCCTCCCCCTACACCAAGTTGATTTTGAAATCTGGCCCTTCTTACAAAGCCAATGCTGATCGGTTATGGTAGACTTGCTAGTGAAACAGAGACTCTGAGGTCACCAGTAGAGATGAAGGATAAAGAGCAGCTCAGTAGCAGGTGCTCAGTGGCTCATCCTGACTTTGTCTCCATTTATACTCAGTGATGGAGGTTGAGTTTCAGGTAAATTTTTCCAAGGGTCAGTTGTATTCTTTTCATCATGTTCACATTTATGCATTATTTAAACTATCTGTAATTAGATGTGTCCCAGATTGAGATCAAATGATTTGAGATCTTTTGTTTTTTAGGAAGATATTACAGAGTTATGTGTTTATTATCTCATTATTATGGTTTGTTATTTTTCATTTCTATCAACTTTCAAGTAAAAATCTATAGATGGAGTGAAGGAGCCAGACAAGAAAATGATCCCAAAAGGTTGCCTGATATTTTTTCTTTTGGAATTTGGAATTGGTTTGGAGATTTTTTTTTTTTTTTAATCAAGTATATTAGAATGGACTTTTTGATCATTTGAAGGACTTAAATTATACATGGGTCATTTCCCAAAGCACATATAAGAAACCCACAGCAGGAGTGCCCATGAGATCATGGGTACTTGAACAGGAGATGGGAGAGGAGATTTATTTTTCACTGTTTACACTTTTGTGCCTTTAACTGCTATACCAAATATCTGTGTTAACCCATTGAAACATATAGTAGGTCGGGCTCGGTGGCCCAGCCTGTAATCCCAGCACTTTGGGAGGCCAAGGTGAGTGGATTGCCTGAGCCTGTGGGTACAAGATCCACCTGGGCAACTTCATGAGACCTCATCTCTACAACAAATCAAAAATTAGCCAGGCATGGTAGCACATGCCTGTAGTTCCAGCTACTTGGAAGGCTGAGGCAAAAGGATCGCCGGAGCCCAGCAGGTCAAGGCTGCGGTGGCCAGGAGCCACTGCAGCGTGCCACTGCACTCCAGTCTGGGCAGTGAGACTTCAACTCAAAAAAAGAATGAGTGAGACTTCAACTCAAGAAAAGAAAAAGAAACATAAAGCAGTGAGACTTCAACTCAAAAAAAGAAAAAGAAACATAAAGTAAAATAAATTAAAGTAAATAAAACTGTAAGTTCAAAGGAAGAAGAAGAAAAACGTCTTACGGTGGCTATATTCAATCTTTGTATTCTAATTCTCCATATCACTTTGTGATCTTTGCATTTATTGTTCCTTTGTCTGGAATATTCTTCCCAAATATCTGTGTGGCTTGTTCCTTTCCTTCCTTCAGGTCCTTGTTGCAATGCCACTTGTTGGTGAAACCTTTTCTGGCTGTCTTATATAAAATAACAACCACTTTATTCCCCCCTTGCTCTGCTTTATTTTTTGCCTTAGCTCTAATCACCACTTGAAATGTACTAAAAAAAAAAAAAATCTATCTCCCCCATTTAAGTTCCGTGAGGGCAAAGACCTGGTTTTGTTCACTACTGTGTCCCTAGAATGGTACCCGACATGGAGCAGGACCTCAAATATTTGAATAAATGAATGACTTACCTCTAGTAGCTGTTACCTACAAATGTGGGTGCTCATGCTTCTGAAATTATGCTAGGTATGAATGAATAATGTGGAAGGCACACAAAAACCATAAGATAAACATGGTATATATTCCCATTAATTTTTTAAATGGAAAATTTTGTAAAAAGCTCCTTATAGTAGAACCAACATGGATGTGATTCTAATGCAAACATGGAATGAAATTTGTGCCCAGGCTACGTAAGGATTTTTTTTTTTTTTTTGAGTTGGAGTCTCACTCAGTCGCCCAGACTGGAGTGCAGTGACCGCTCCCAGCCACCGCAGCCTCGACCTTCTGGGCTCCGGCGATCCTTCTGCCTCATCCTTCCAAGTAGCTGGAACTACAGGCATGTGCTACCACGCCCGGCTAATTTTTTGATTTATTGTAGAGATGAAGTCTCGCCAAGGATTTTGATTTATTCATTGCCGTATACCAAGCATTTAGAACTGTGCCTAACGTATAGTAGGAATTTAGTATTTATTGAATCCCTGAAGGGATCTGGGCACCATGGTTCACATCTGTAATCCCAGAACTTTGGGAGACTGAGGCAGGAAGATTACTTTGAGCCCAGTAGTTCAAGACCAGCCTGGGCAACATAGTGAGACCTTGTCTGTACAAAAAATGAAATAAAAATAAAAATAAAATAAATCTCTAAAAGGGATATATATTCACCCTTCTGTGATCTTGGAAAAGTTTGGGAGATGCTAGTCTAAATCATATTTCATGATGGTTTCCTGACTTTGCATATGGACAAAAGTTGTTTTGTGATGACTGTGTTATATTAACTATTCATGTAAGGAAGGTGAAGAAGAACATTTTTTTGAGCATCTTAAGTATTCAATAATTTTACAAATGATAAAACAAGGTACAGAAAGAAGTTAAGCAAATTGTCCAGGGTCCCAGAGTTAGTAGGTGGCATTTCTGGTTGGCTTCCAGAGTTCATGCTCTTACTGTATTAGTTATCTACTACTGCATATCAAATTACCCCAAAACTTTAAAAAGTAAACATTTTATTATTTTATAGTGTATCTGTGAGTTGGGAATCTGGGAGTGGGTCTGCTGGGTGGTTCTGGCTCAAGGCCTCTTATGAGATTGTAGTAAAGATGTCAGCCAGGACTATAGTTACCTGAAGGTTTCGTGGAGCTGGAAGATGTGCTTTCAAGATGACTCACTCACATAGATGACAGATTTCTACTGTCTTCTGGTCAGAGGTCTCAGTAACTGACCACATGGATTTTTCATAGGACTTCTTGAAGATCCTCAAGCAGTGGCTTGTCCCAGAGCAAGTGATCTGAGAGAACCAGGAGGAAACCACAGTGTTTTTTTAAGAACTAGTCTTGGAAGTTATACAAGGTCATTTCCACAGTGTCCTTTTGGTTTTACTGATCAACGCTATTTAGTATGGGGTGGAACGGACACAATGGTATGAGTACCAGGAGGCAGAGATCATTGGGGGCCATCTTGAAGACTGAGTTCCACAATTAGGCTGTACTGTTAATTTTTTACTATGCATAAAAATTCTATAGAAGAGATCTTATCCTCAAGTTATAGGTGAAGTTTTATAACTTGCTCAAGATCACACAGCTAAGTAAATGATGGAGTTGGAATTTTTACTCAGATCTGTCTCACTTAGGAGCCTGTGCTTTTTCCACTGTTCTTTACTGCCTCCCAAGAAATAAGTCCTTCAGGTGCTTATAGTTTTAAGAAAATCAACTTTAAAACACATTACTTTAATAATGGCTTTATGTTTTTCAGCGGGCCTGATGCCGATGCAACAACAAGGATTTCCTATGGTCTCTGTCATGCAGCCTAATATGCAAGGCATGATGGGGATAAATTACAGCTCTCAAATTTCCCAAGGAACTATTGCTATGCAGGTACTTGCCTTTTTAGTCATTGTTTACAAAGCTATTGCTTGTTTTATGTCTACATATCAAGAGCTTATTGTTATATTTAGAAATAAGTATAGTCTATCTCTTAGTGGCTTCCTTCAAACTAAAATGAAGATGTATTCCTAAGAGAAAAAAATAAGAGAAATTATTTTAGGAAAATCTAGGTGACTTCTTTATTTGACCTTTGGCTTAGAGGAATTATAGAATGACGTCCTGGAAAATTCAGGGACCTGATGCCATGAAGTAGCATTGTTGGAAGTAGCACCGTTCTCATGAAAGGAACAGTGTCATTGCTAGGAAGGCACAGAGCTAAAACAACTCCCATTCTTTGTACTGAATTATCTCATCTAATCCTCATAATAACTTTTTAAAAAACTGTTCTCTTCATTTTTCTGATAAAGAAACAAGCTTTGTGAGAATTCTCAGAGTATAGTAAACCAAGATTTGAACCTAATTAACCATATTATGCGTATTGTACGTTGAATTCTCTTGAAAGAGCATTAGGGAGCCATTGAATAGTTTACAACACTGGAGTGACATGATCAGATTTGTATTTCAAAAAGATCATAGGCAGTGACTCACGCCTATAATCCCAGCACTTTGGGAGACCAAGATGAGAGGATTGCTGAGCTCATGGGTTTGAGACTAGCCTGGGCAACTTGGTGAGACTTCATCTCTATAATAAACCAAAAAAAAAAAAAATTAGCTCGGTATGGTGGTACGTGCCTGTAGTTCAGCTACTTGGAAGGCTGAGGTGAAAGGATCGCCTGAGCCCAGCAGGGTGAGGCTATGGTGACCGGGAGCATACCACTGCCCTCCAGTCTGGGTGACAGAGAGAGACTCCTGCTCAAAAAAAAAAAAAAAAAAAAAAAAAATGGCTGGGCACAGTAGCTCAAGCTTGCAATCCCAGCATTTTGGGAGGCCGAGGTGAGAGGATTGCCTGAACTCATGTGTTCGCGACCAGTCTGGGCAACTTGGCGAGATCTCATCTCTACAATAAATCAGGAAAAATTAGCCAGGCGTAATGGCGTATGCCTGTAGTTCCAGCTACTTGGAAGGCTGTGGCAGAAGGATTGTCAGAGCCCAGCAGGTCGAGGCTGCAGTAGCCGCGAGCATGCCTCTGCACTCCAACTTGGGCAACAGAGTGAGACTCCGACTTAAAAAAAAAAAATTAATAACACTTGAGACATAAAAAGGAATCTGAATGAGAAGTGCCCAAGAATTGAAGACAATTTTCCTGCTATTGTTCTGTATGCTCCTGTGTCAGTGGCCGTGATCATAGTTGGTGACAATATATTAAAGCAAATATGTTACATAATTTTTTTACTTGAATGAAATTCACAGTGTCATGATTTAATAAGTTTGTCTAAGATTGTCTTCTTCCATTTGCCTCTCCATATCTTTGTAAATTATCTTCTCCAGCTATGATGGCTATTAAACCAAGTCTCTTGAATCTAGTAGTCAAACCTTTGAAGAGCCAAATCCAAAGTGTTATATTATTTTTTAAAAATTAAAATTATTCATTCACTTTGCTCTCACTAAAAAGTAAGCCAAGCCTGGCACGGTGGCTCATGCCTGTAATCCCAGCACTCTGGGAGACTAAGGTGGGTGGATTACCTGAGTTTAGGAGTTCAAGACCAGTCTGGGCAACATAGCAAGACCTCGTCTCTACGAAAAATAAAAAATTAGCCTGTCATGGTGGCACATGGTTTTAGTCCCAGCTACGCCAAATGCTGAGGTAGAAGGATTGCTTGAGCCCAGGAGGTCGAGGCTGCCATGAGCTGTGATCGTCAGAATCATGCCACTGCACTTTAGCTTGGGGGGCAGAGTGAGATCCCGGCTCAAAAAAAAAAAAAGTAAGCCAGAGTGAAAAAGGATGTTTGTACTACTAATAAATATTTTATTTTATTTATTTATTTATTTTTTTGAGTTGGAGTCACTCTGTCGCCCAGACTGGAGTGCAGTGGCCGCTCCCGGCCACTGCAGCCTCGACCCATGGGCGATCCTTCCACCTCAGACTTCCGAGTAGCCGGAATTACAGGCATATGCTACCTGCCCGGCTGATTTTTTTTTTTAATTTGTTGTAGAGATGAGGTCTCGCCAAGTTTCCCAGGCAGGTCTTGAACCCGCAGACTCAGGCAATCCACTCACCTCAGCCTCCCAAAGTGTGGGATTACAGGCCGAGCCACCAAGCCTGGCTGCTAATAAATATTTTAAATGTCATATATTGTATTTCATTTTTGCCTTATACTTTAAAATTTTCTATTTCTGTGTGTTTTATCATTATACAATATATTAATACACTGGAATGTTTATATAACTTATAAATGAGTAATATTAGGAGGTCACAATCAGAATTTTAAGTTGAGACTATTGTCATGTTGAAGTTGTTTATGCAATTGAAGTTTTTTGTTGTGTTTGAAGGTTCAGGAAAACTTCCAAAGTCATTTTTTATTTGCCAGTAGGAAGAAAATGGAAATAAATTAAGATTTTTGTAGATTTTAAATCTATGTAGTTAGCTTTAACTAGGTTATGCTGCAGAAACAAATAGTCCCCAAATCTTGGTGACTTACAGATACAAAGTTTTTTTCCTCATTTTTTTTTTGTTTTTTTTTGTTTTTGAGTCAGTCTCACTGTGTCATCTAGGCTAGAGTGCAGTGACATACTCACGGCTACCACAGCCTTGCCCTACTGGGCTCAGGTGATCCTTCTGCCTCGGCCTTCCAAGTAGCTGGAACCACAGGTGTGTGCCTCCAAACCCAGCCAATTTTTTTGACTTATTGTAGATACAAGGTCTCACGAAGTTGCTCAGGCTGGTTTTGAACCCCTGGGCTCAGGCAATCCTTTCACCTCTGCCTCCCAAAGTGCTAGGATTATAGGTATGAGCCACTACACCCAGCTCATTCCTCACTTTTAAAAAATTTATTTTTAGTTATTATGGACACTTAATAGTTGTACCTATTTATGGAGTGCATGTAATATTTTGATACAAGCATACATCCTCACCTGTGATACATATCCTTTATAGGTTGGCTCTGACTCTACTGCATATTTTCTTTATTTTGGGACCCTTATCTAAGACATCCCATGCTCTTGGCATAGGAAAAAGAGATGACCAGACCCCATATTGTCCTTTAAAGCTAACACTCAGAGGTAGCATTTAATGAATTCTGCTCAGAAAACTAAAGTGGCCAAAATTAACATCAGTAGGGGAGGAATATACCAGGAGGAATGCAGTCCACATAGTGATATGCAGTTCTCTTAGGGTAAAGGAGCAAATAACTAGAAACAATCTACTGTAGAATATAATGTATTTTTTATTAAGATTTAATATGTTTACTGATGAACCTTAATAACAACTGATACAAGTTTCAAATATCTAATTTTTATACTGAATGTTATTTTATGACTTACATAATGATAAGAAAAATTTTTTGAGCTTATAAAGCCAGTGCTTCCTACAAAAATTATAAGTCCAGAGCCTCCTCTAAAAAAGGAGTGAAGAAAGCACATTATTTGTATTTAGGCAATAACTCTTGCCTTTCAAATTATAACATGAGTTCTTTAATCGGGACTGGAAGCTCCTGATGGAGATCAAAAGTAGGTAGCAGATTGAGGTCTAACATTCTTGATATTGCAAGAAAATAGATTTATTTGAATAAATTTATAAATTGTCCTCCTATCGTCACTAGTCAGGAATCTAACTTTTTTTAATTTTTAATTTTTATTTTAAAGATATGGGGTACAATTCAAGATCAGGTATACAAGTGGAAAATGTTTTTCAAGAGTCTGAAACAACCAAAGCATTAAGGATCTCTAATATGCAGAACAACAAGAAAAAAGTAAACTTTTAGATGTTTTAGTGCCCAGATAATTTCACTGAATATCAGGAGCTTGTGTATTAATGATTCTAAGAAAAAGCAAACAAAATATTTTTCTTTAACCATTAATCTTGCTGGCAAGCATTATATTGCTTGGAAACTGTTCTCCATTCTTTAAGGAGAAAGTCATTCCTATCTTATTTTCCCCTCAAATTCAATAATTCAATAGCCCTAATCAACCACAGATATAATCCATTATTCTTTTAGTTATCTCTTAAGTCTTTGAAGGGGTTCATTTAAAAATAAAAGTCAAAAAATGAAAATTAGCTGTAATCCCAACTCGTTGGGAGGCAGAGATGAGAGGATTGCATGAACTCAGGGGTTCAAGTCCAGCCTGGGCAAATTGGGAAGACCTCAACTCTACAATTAATCAAAAAACTAGCTGGCATGGTGGTACACACCTGTGGTTCCAGCTATTTGGAAGGCTGAGGCGGAAGGATGCCTGAGTCCAACAGGTCAAGACTGTGGTGACCGTGAACATGTCTCTGCACTCCAGCATGGGCAACAGAGTGAGACTCTGACTCAAAAAAAAAAAAAGAAAAAGAAAAGAAAATTAGTCTTGATTATCATATTGCCTCTGTATTCCCAAAACACATAAAAAGAGAACATTCGTTATTTACAATAAATTTCAAAATTATTCTGAAATATTTCAAGCAGATAGGCAAGTATAGAGTATATGAAAAACGTGTGAATGTATCGTATCACTTTATCCAAAAAAATTTGTAACTTTTTATTTTGAGATAAATGTATATTCATGTGCAGTTATAAGAACTAATACAAAGAGATACTTTACCTGATTTCCCCCTCTTGTAGAGCTGTAGGACATTACGACCACCAGCATTTTTTTATTTTGACGTTGGTACAGTTGAAATACAGAACATTTCTATCTCTCTGAGAATCCCCTCATGTTGCTTCACTTCCTTCCGGCCCCCCCTTACTCCTTTGAATTCACTAATATGTTTCTCATTTCTATTATTCTTTAGTTTCAAATATGTTATATAAATTGAATCACTAGCCTTCTGGGATTGGCTTTTTTCACCCAACTTAATTCCCTAGAGATTCATCCAAGTTGTTGCAAATATCAATAGCTCACTCTTTTTTATTGCTCAGTGGTATCTTATAGTGTGGCTATATAATGGTTTGCTTAATTATTCACCCACTGAAGACCATCTGGATTGCTTCCCATTTTTGGCTATTACAAATAAAATCTTTGTGTGAACATAAGTCTTCATCTCTTGGGGTAAATGCTCAAGAGTGTATGCTGGTTTGCATGGTAGTTGCATTTTTTGTTTTTTAAGAAGCTGCCCTCAACTGTTTTCCAGAGTTGCTGTGCTATTTTACATTCTCACCAGCAATATATAAGTGGTCAAGTTATTCTGCATCCTTGCTAACATTTAGTGTTGTTACTATTTGTTATTTTAGCCATTCTGATAGGTATGTTGTACTATCTCATTGTGGTTTTAATTTGCATTTCCCTAATAGCTAATAATGTTGAACATCTTTTCATGTGCTTATTTGCCATCATTACATTTTTTTTAGAGAAATGTCTTTTCATATCTTCTGTCCAATTTCTAATTGCATTTTTTGGTATTTTACTTTTGAATTGTGAGAGTTCTTTATATATTCTAGGTACTGGTTCTTTGTCTGATATGTGGTTTGCATGTATTTTCTTCTTGTCTGTAGCTTGTCTTTTCATCCTCTTAACAGAGTCCTTCTCAGAGCAAAAGCTTTAAATTTTGATGAAATCTGATTTACCAGTTTTTTCCTTTTATGGATCACGTTTTGGTATAAGTTCAATAGGCCTTACCCTAGATCCTGAAGATTTTCTTCTATGTTTTTTCTAAAAGTTTGATCATTTTACATTTTATATTTAACTTCATGATGCATTTTGAGTTAATGTGTAAGGTGTAGACTTAACTTGGGTTTTTGTTTGTTTGTTTTTGCCTATGCATGTTTGATCGCACCATTGTTGAAAATGTGATTCTTCCTCCATTGAAATGCTTTTATATTTTTGTCAAAAATATGCTGGGCAACTTTGTGTGGATTTCTTTCTGGATTCTCTGTTCTGTTTCATTGGTTTACGTGTCTACCTTTTCCCTAAGAATGCACAGTCTTAGTGACAGTAGCTGTATGATAAGGCTGATTCTACCCATGTTATTTTTCTTATCAAAATTGTTTTAGCTATTCTAGTTCCTCTGCCTTTCCATATTAATCTTGGAATAATCTTGTCTTTGTCTACAAAAGTCCTTCCTGGAGTTTTGACATTGTGCTAAACTTTTATATGAATTTGAGAAGAATCAAATATTTACTATGTTGAGTCTATGTGAACATAGGATGTCTCTTAATTTATTGAGATCTTTTATCAGTATAATATAGTTTTTAGCATACAAATCTCATATACGTCCGGTTAGATTTACATCTAAATATTGATTTTTTTGAGTAATTATAAATGGCATATATAAAAAATTTTAATGTCCATGTGTCCATTGTAGTATATAATAGAAATACAATTGACTTTGTGTTTGTCTTATAGCCTGCAACCTTACTGAACTCACTTATTAGTCCTAGGAAATTATTTTGTAGAGTCCTTGGAATTTTCTATATAGGTAGTTATATTATCCCTTTATCAAAAATTTTTTTTTTTTTTTTTTGAGTTGGAGTCTCACTCTGTCGCCCAGACTGGAGTGCAGTGGCCGCGCCTGGCCACCGCAATCTCATCCTGCTGGGCTCCCGGCATTCCTTCCCGCCTCAGCCTTTCCAAGTAGCTGGAACTACAGGCGCATGCTACCACACTCGGC